GTGTGATTTGGGCTTCCTCCACTAATGGCTCTGAAAGGCGCCGACAAGTTCGGCTCGAATATCACGTCAACATTGTACCCCATGTTAACTGCCCCGCTTTCGAGCGATCTGCCAGAGTCCCGCGCCAACGGAGATGGGTAGTAGCAGTAGTTGCGTGATGCGACCGGCGCTGTCGACACAAAGGCGCGTTTCGGGTTTGGAGCTGAGAACAGGTAGGCACGCAGCAGGTTTAGAGATTTCTCAGAAGCGCCCGCGGGAATGTAAGCGGCATCCGGCAGCAGCCCTTGTATATCGCCTGTTCTGGGCCAACCAAGCGACATTAACGTTGACTCACGCGGGTCACACGAGTCACGCGAGTCAAGCGAGTCAAGCGACATGACGATGTCGAGATCCGCCTCGTCAGGCTCCCACGCGGCAGCGGAGTCGCAGACGACGGGCGCAACATCATGCGCCGCCTGCTGCAGCGGAAGCGCCTGATAACGCGGCAGCAGCCCGAGCGGCGCAACCACTGGCAGGGGACCACGGGGAGGCGCTGATGTCGACGAAGATGACATGCGGGGAGTCATCATGACGGTTCGCCGCTAAGTGAAACTGACTTGGTCGGAACCTCCTAGTACAATCGCGGAAAAACTCATTCAGGGAAGGGAATCAGCTCCACTCTAGGTCTTGGACTCGGAAAAGCTGCCTGCTTTTAATCACATATTGAAATCGCGCTGAGCGCACGACTGACAGCCCGACTAGCTCCGACGAGCTCGAAGGGTGCCGCCGCCACCTTCATTCCAGCGGGCCCGACCAACTCACAATGCGCCTCTTTCCCTGCCACGACAGGGGAGGGGTGAGGGAGTGGGGGAGTGGAGGCCTAGTCGTGAGTTGGGAGGTGCTCTCGCGATGGGGAGGATTTCCAGATTCTAGCCCTACGGTGCGGATCTTGCGGGATAAGAGGCGGATTTTGGAGCAACTCACAAGTTGATCGGTTCTGCGGTGCGCAAGGATAATCCTTCGCGGGAGGCGCCTCAAATCCCCCTCCCCACACCCTTTCCCCGCGTCTCTCCTCGCCTTCATCCCCCTTCCCTCTTTCCCGCCTTCTCTCATCCCCTTCCCCCACACTCCGCGGGCGCCAGCGGCAGTGGAGCGCGTTTCCAGCATTTTCCGCACGCCTCGCTCTGTATCTGCAATGATAACCTTGGCGAAAGTGCTGATTGTTTCTACTCGCAGTTGTTTTCCTTCGGTCCTAAGAGGCTCTGCCGCCAACTCCGACGTGTGTCCTTGATGAGGCCGACAGACCTGACAAGCTTTTGCACACAGTGAACGTACAGTTCCATGCGTGTGAACTTTCCTGTCTCGTTCGATAACAAACGAGTGCCGAAACTGTTTCGCTTCATGGAGGCCGAGTGGTGTCTCGTGGCGAGAATCGAACGACTGCTGTGTTTATTACACGAAGTAGCGCAGGAACTTGCCACCCAATGTTGGAAACTGCAGCATTTCTTCACACACATCATCGAACTTTTCTTTTTCGGAGGGTGGTGAAGGGCGAAGAAAGAGGGCGAACGGTGAAGCGTGGAGCCGTGAGTGTGAAGTGAACTCTCTTTTCCCCCTTCCTCGCGGTTGCGACGAGAAGGAACGGAGGGACGAGGAGAGGAAACGAAGGGGTGAAGGTTGGGGTGGGAGGGCCAAACGTGTACACATGTTGCTCGTTTGAGTCCCCCATACTTACCTAATGTTTAGGGTCTATAAATGATTCTCATATCGCACCTCCCCACGGTCATTGTGGGCTTAATAGAGAAACTGATAGCAATTCATTTTTTTTTTTCCATAACGGTGCAGCGTAGTCGTGATCGTTAGGTATGTGTTGCCATATGTTTCCACCTTGTTTAGCCATTTCTCTAGCACCTAATTACAAAAGCACTCATAAACTGTCACGAACATGCAACCTCTGTCCAATACGTGCCTTACAGTTGCGCACATGAAACAGCAACCGGGTATACTGTGCACAAGATGTGCACATAGGTGCACATAGGAGAGTCGCTCTTCTGTAAGGGGTGACACACCCCTTTACAAAGTCATCCATACCGCAGCATCAACATAGCCACTCATGATGGCGCCAACCCCAGCGTCGAAAAGTTGTTGGCGGGTGCGAGAAGGCGCTGTTATCCACGCACGCAGAATGTGTTCTAGATGTGCGTTGGCCCCGTCCTCGCTTGGGCGGAGCCGACTTCGTAGTCGGGTGTGTGGGGAGCACAGCCGGGGCTGCAGTGGCCGACGACGACTCAGGCGCGCAGGTCGATAGGCTTGGTCGGCCTGCATGGGGCCACTGTCACGCCGCTGACGACGGGGAGCCAGCAGCCGACTATGACCCGGTGATCGACGAGGGGAGGGGCGCCGACATCGATGTGGGAGTGGCACCGACTTGGAGGGCGCCGAGTTCGGGTGGTCGATCTGGCGGGGTCGACCTGGCGGGGTCGACCTGGGAGGACGCCGACTTTGTGACGTCGACTTGAGGGGCGCCGACTTCGTGGCGGCGGCCTGGGGACGCTGACCTAGCAAAGTCGGGCTGATGACCGTCGACCTGGATGGACTATGAGCGCGCACAAGTGTTGACAGGATACTGCGGCGCAAGTCAACGCTGACTTGGTGGTGCCCCGGTCGACCAAGTAATTAGGCGACGGGGCTCTGCAGAGGTGTGCGATAGTCGCCCAGGTGATTCTAGCGAAGCCGACCTTGGAGGTGGTATGCCGAGGTCGGCGTGGAGGATCAGGTGCAGCTGTGGGCGCGTGGCCAGCTTGGTGTCAGCACTCTGCACGTGATTGGGCATACAGCCCGCCAACCAGCTGCGAGCACCTGAAAAGCGGGTGCGCTGCTGTCATGCAGCTGCAACAATATGCAGCCGCCTTACTGCAGCGTTGTCACGCCGTCGACTTGCAGCGTTGGCAGGCTGCAACTTTGCACTGCTAGAGCACGATCGACCTTGTCGTGCTGGAATGCGGTCGACCATGCTAAGCTGGCAGTCGACCTGCTTGCATGCTAGTGTCGAAAGTAGTAGGAAAAGTTTAGAAGCAGAAAGAGGGGTTTGGACTAGCAGCAGTTGAGATACAAATAGCAAACCCTAGATTGGGCTGTACTCGCTATAGAGTACCCCACTGCAGGCTAGACAAATACAACATTCTGACACACCCCCATAGCCAAAGTGGGGTGTAATCATCACAAGTAGTTCACATTTTATGAGCAAAGCTAGAGGCAGTCACAGAGGGCAAGTGAGGAGGAGGAGGGCTGGCGAGAGGAGAGAAGAGTGGAGGCGACGACTGAAGCTGCAGACACACGGGCAACAGACGGCTCTGGTGCAGCTCTAGTGGCTACCGGGAGCAAGGGCCCCGGAATACAGGAGTAACAGGCTCTGCGTCTGATCAGCAGCGACAGGAGCAACGGACCCACGGGCGACAGGTGCAACCGGCTCTCTGAGCTACCGGTGGCTATCAGAACCCCGGAATACAGGCGCTGCAGACGACACGACGGCGGCCTCCGCTCAACCTCCCCCAACAGTCCCACACCCCTCGACACACACCCCCTGCTTCGCCCCTAGCTCCACTCCCTTTCACCCCCCTAGTACAACTCCGTCGGCTCCCCACACAACCACCCCCCTGAGCGGCAGCTGCAGCAGCGGGAGACGGAGGAGGAGGAGAAGGAGGGGACGGGGCACACAACCGGCACCCCCACACCCGCCACCCCCACACTCCACATCCCCAAACCCTAAAACGGGTAGGAGAGGGGCAGGAGCGCGGGGGACGGCGAGAGGGGGACCGCGGCGGACTGGCGGGGGGGGGGGGGGGGCGCGCGCGGCTCCCCAGGGCTCCGCGACGGACTGGCGGGGCGCGCGCGGGCTCCCCAAGGCGCCGCGACGAACGAGCGGGGCGCGCGGGGGCTCCCCAGGGCGCCGCGACGGACGGGCGGGGCGCGCGCGGGCTCCCCAGGGCGCCGCGATGAACGGGCGGGGCGCTCGCGTGCTCCCCAGGGCGCCGCGACGGACGGGCGGGGCGCGCGCGGGCTCCCGAGGGCGCCGCGACGAACGGGCGGGGCGCTCGCGTGCTCCCCAGGGCGCCGCAACGGACGGGCGGGGCGCGCGCGGGCTCCCCACGGCAGGAAACCGCCGCGCGCCACGGGGCGCACGGCGGGCAGAAAACCGCCGCGCACCTCGGGGCGCACGGCGGGATGAAAAATCCGTCGCACGCCACGGGGCGTGCGACACACAGAGTAGCAGTAGCAGTAGCAGTAGCAGCGGAAGGCTTAGGTGGTGGGCCCACCCACAGGATCGACTCAGAAGGGTCGACCTGCTCTGATAGCATGTCGAAAGTAGTAGGAAAAGTTTAGAAGCAGAAAGAGGGTTTGGACTAGCAGCAGTTGAGATACAAATAGCAAACCCTAGATTGGGCTGTACTCGCTATAGAGTACCCCACTGCAGGCTATACAAATACAACATTCTGACAGCTAGCATCTGATATGGTCAATGTTGCTTTGCCATTGTCAATCATTATTGTGATTTTTTTGCTATTGAAACTTTTGCCAATTCTTCCCATGAATGTGCAAGTAGAGAGAACACAAGCAACCACGCAAGGAACGCTACAATCACTCCTACACACGTGCCTTCCCCCATAGTCTAGCTCACATTTTAGTAGTTACTTTCCGCAAAACGCGGCGCCCGCGTCGACGCGGAGTGATTGCCTGCGTAGAGGCGGCAGTTGCCTGCGTAAAAGCGGCTGGTGGGGACGCGGCAGGCTGGGGAGCTGCCGGCGACGTCATGTTCAGGTTGATCGGAGGGCTTGCACTCTCCATGCGATCGACAATTATCGGCTTCCTGATATCAAAAAGCGCGCAAAGGTCGCGCGGAGTGATGCAAGTGTCTGGGCATAGCCAATGAGCATCTCATATGCCGCCCTTACCGTGCATCTGGCTTCGCAGGTCTTTGGGTTGTCGTCGTCGTACACAGCCTGCATGGTGGCGGGCGCCTCCTACGACCTGCCCGAATACGCTGCTGCGGGCTCAATCGCGAGTGGGTCTTCTCCCCGTTCAGCGTAGGTGGGCTGGTTGTCGTCGATGGCGACGATCTCGGCGGGTAGCATTGCGCTGGGCCCAAGGTCCAGATGGTCGATCAGAATGCGAACGTCGCCGATCTCCTCATTGAGGTCGATGGCAAGTGCGGCATTCCCGACATTGCCATCACCGCTGGCATCGAGGCCTGCTGCGCCCATGTGCGCCAGGTCCATGGCCCACGAGCGTGGAAGGCACCCCATGCGCCACCAACAATGCTGGATGGTGAGCATGTGGACGTTTATTCATGCGTCCGAGAGCCATGCGATAACATTGCGAAGATTCGGGCGGAAGCGCGACGTTGTGGTTGTGTGGCTACAGGGCCGTGAACACACGAAGCCAGTGCTAACGGTCGCGCGCCTTCGTCTTCTCTATCAGGCCCTGATCAAACGGCTGTGTGAAGGCGGTCGTGTTGGACGGCAGGAAGACGAGGCGGATGTTGCTGAGGGAGCAGGTGCGGAAGTTGAAAAGGTCTTCCGAGTTGCGTGCTTGCCCTTGATGACGTGACTGCTAGCATTATCCCGGAGAATCATGATGTCGTAGACTTCAACATACATGGTCGCGTTGAGCTGTTTGATGAAATGGGTGAATAACTGCACAAGTGACGGGCATATGTAAGAATTTATAGTTACTAAGTATGGGAGCCAAGACGTTTAAACAATTATAATTTGTGAGAATGTACAACACTGAATATATGTTGAGCTTCCACCTTTGGCATTGATACGCCAATAGCAAAGATTGTTGGGGTCGTAATCGGAAAGAAAATTACACGGCCGCTTGGCTTTGGAGATCACCAGCGGGCAGAACGCGGGTGACTACTGTCAACGGGAGTTGTATGTTGGCCCCGTCCTCGCTTGGGCGGAGCCGACTTCGTGGTTGGGTGTAGGGTGCAGCCGACCTGCAGCAGTGGGCGAGTTGGTCGACGAGGTTGGTCGACCTGCACGGGGAGCCACTGCATGGGCGCCGACTTCAGGAGGGCGCCCACTTCGGCTGGTCGACCTGGGAAGTCGACCAGCCCTTCTGGTCGACCTGGGACGTCGACCAGACCTCCTGGTCGACCTGGGACGTCGACCAAACCTTCTGGTCGACCTGGGAAGTCGACCAGCCCTTCTGGTCGACCAGGGACGTCGACCAGGCCTTCTGGTCGACCAGGAGTGACGTCGACTTGGAGCTGGTCGACCAGGGAATAGTGGTCGACCTGGGGAGGTCGACTGGAGGTGGCCGTCGACTTGGGAGGTCGACCGGCACGTACCAGAGGCAGTGGTCGACCTGGGAGGTCGACCGGAAGTGGTCGTCGACCTGGGTGGTCGACGGGCACGCACTGGAGCCTCTGGTCGACCTGGTTGCCCGGTCGACCAGGTTACCTGGGTGACGAGGTGCTGCGAAGGCTTGCGAAGGTCGCCCAGGTGGTTTTGGCGAGGACGACCTCGGTGATGGTATCCCGAGGTCGACGTGGTGCATCAGATGCAGTCGTCAGCACGAGGTGGACTTGGTGTGTGCGCTGTGCAGGTGACGAAGCAGTGCACGCCAATCATCTACGAGCACCTGCGAAGCGGGTGCGATGCTGGACTGCAGGAGCAACGCTGGCACGCCGTCGACTTGCGCTGTTGTCTCGCCGTCGACCTGCAGCGTTGGCAAGCCGCGTCCATGCACTGCTGGAGCACGGTCGACCAAGTCGTGCTGGCACGCGGTCGACCGTGCTGCGCTGGCAGTCGACCTGCTTGCATCCTAGCTCTGATGTAGACTTGCCTAGCCAACTTCATTGGATCATTGTTGTCTACTTTCTCTAGTGAAACTCTTGCCAATTTGCCTTGTGAACTAGCAAGCAGTGTGTGCACTAGGAAAACGACTAAGGACCAAGGAACGCAGAGATCACACGAGCACCCGTGCCTAGCCCGCAGCCTAGCTCCCGTTACTAGAGTTATCTCCGCATGGTGCGGTGAGCGTGGACGGCACAACGACTTACCTTTCAGTCTAGTCGACTTGGTTGCACCTTACCTAAGTTGTTCATAGGCCGGCAGCTGTGCAGTAGTCACCATGGTAGGCGCCGTAGGTGACACGGGGGTGGTGGACACCCTGGAGGCACGGCTGGAGAACGCGAGGAGGAAGCACGAGGCCAACGAGTATGGCGACCTGCCGTGGGCGGTCGTCGAGGCTGGCATCCGTTCCTTGTGGGCGACGGAGCACCCCTCTCGGCCTGCTTCTCCTCGACCGGTGAACACCGAGGGCGGCGTCGACCTGGGTGTCGACGCTGGAGGCGACCAAGTTGGCAGCAGTGCGGGAGGCACGTCGAGGCAGCGTGGTGTGATTCACGCCGACGAAGTCGGCGGCGTTCAGACGCGAGGAATGCGGTCGTCGGCGGCTGCAGGGTTCTCGCAGGGCGACGTCGGAGGTCGACGGAGTGGGTCCGTGCCGATGTCGGCAACCCAGGTGACAGCAGGCGGGATTGCACCGAGCTACGGCTACTTCAAGTTTACGCCGGATAGGATCTCGGTGACTCCCCTACTGGTCGGCCGACCCGACATTCTCACCTGGAAGGAAGCTATTGAGCCCCAGCTGGAGATGGCCGGGCTCATCAACTTTGCTCGTGGTACCGTGGCGACGCCGAGCGACCCCGACTTGCGTGCGGAGTTTCGCGCCGTGCAGCTGCTGACCTTCACGGTCATCTCGCGGTGCTGCACGCCGGGCGTGCAAATCGCCTTGAAGTGGTGCCGGGAGTACCTCGACGCCGGCCACCAGGCGTGGCACTTCATTGAGTCGACCTACCAGGTCACCGACGACCTGTTTATCGCCCAGCTTGAAGGGCAGCTGACGCACCTGCGCATGGGCGACGAGGAGACGGCGACCGACTACTGCAACCGGGCCCGGCGAATTCTCGCCACCATCAGGATGGCCGGTGCGGAGTATTCGACGGCGTCGTACATCACCCATGTCATGCAGGGACTCCGGAGCAGCTACAACCTGTTGAAGCGGCTGTCCATGGCGCCAAGCACGAGGGCGACGCTCAACGAGGACAACCTAACCTCGTATATCCTGCAGGACGAGGCGATGCAGGAGGCTGAGCGGTCCCAGGAGCTCTTGGCGTAGGCAAACTTTGTTGCCCCGGCGAAGCAAGGCGGTCGACCGGGGCAGCGTGGACAGTCTGGCGGCAGTGGTAGCGGTGGCTCGAAGTCGGCCAAGGAGGTCGACAAGAAGAAGTCGACCAAGGACAGTGGCCGGGGAGGAGGAAGTCGACGCCGGGAGTGCTGGCTGTGCGGCGACCCCGACCACCTCTCCTTCGAGTGCCCCGACCGCAGTGACTCGGACGACGACGACAAGGGAGGCCGCGGGAGGTCTGGCAGTCGTCGACCTCGTCGAGGAGGAAGTCAATCGCGCAAGGAGAAGCAGTCGACCAAGTCGTCGACCTCGGCGAAGGACGCCGACTCCTCTGCTGGCGGCAAGGGGAGCGGCGACAAGTCGGCGTCGTGCTCCCTGGTCGGCGTTGTGGAGCCGACCGTCTCACTGGCGCCGGAGGCCGGTGAGGACTTTCAGGCGATGGCAGCAGCAGTGCAGGCGAACCCGGCGGTGGTCCTACTGGACAGCGGCTGCTCCCACCACCTGATGGGGACGAAGGAGGTCTTCGTCGACATGGGGCCGAGCGGCGACTTGAAGCACGTGCGTGGCTTCAATGGGGCGCTGCAAGACGTCCAGGGCCGGGGCACGGTTGCGTTGCAAGGCGAGGCCGGGAAGCAGGTTCTCATCCCCGACGTGCTGTACGTCCCGGGTGTGCGGGCAAACCTGTTGTCGTCTGGTCAGCTGAAGGAGCATGGCGTGAAGTTTCAAGAGGACGGCGACGGGATGCTGCTTGTCTCAGCAGCAGGAGAAGTGCTTGGTCGGGCGACGTACTCCGGGCGAGTCCTCTGCACCGACCTGCGTCCCTGCTCAACGAGGTCGACGTCGCCCCCGCCGGAGGTTGTGGCCCTGCGGACAATCGTCTCCAAGGCGAAGTCGACGTTAGACAGGATGCATGCTCGGCTTGCGCACGTCGGCATGGACACCATCAGGAGCTCGGCGAAGAACGAGGTCGCCATTGGGCTGGACCTCAAGTCGGCGACGGGCGCCGACTCACCATGTGTCTCGTGCGTCGGCGGGAAGCTGGCGCGGCACACCTTCCCCGACCAAGGCTCCGACGCCGCCGACGTGCTAGCCGTCGTTCACATCGACTTGTGCGGGCCATTCCGGGTGGCTGCCAAGGATGGCAGCCTGTACTTCTTGCTGCTGAAGGACCGTAAGTCCCGCTACGTGTGGGTGAGGCCGGTCGCCAAGAAGTCGGATGTGCTGTTGGAATTCCAGAAGTGGCTGGTGCTGGTGGAGAGGCAGACGAAGAAGTCGGTGCTGATGCTGCGCTCGGACCGAGGTGGGGAGTTCCTCGGGAAGACGTTCACCGACTTCGTGGACGGCAAGGGGATCGTCCACGACCTGACCTGCCCGTACACCCCGCAGCAGAACGGCATGGCGGAGCGGGAGATGCGGACGGTGGTGGAGTCGGTGAGGACGATGCTACTGCACATGGGCGTGCAGCACCACTGGTGGCACCTCGCCCTGCGGCAGGCCGTCTGGATCCGCAACTGCCTGGAGCGATCGGCGACGCCGGGGACGACGCCGTACCAGCTGCTGACTGGGACGAAGCCCGACTTGTCGCTGGCATGCGTGTGGGGCTGCATGGCGCAGTTCCTCGTCCCCGAGCAGCAGCGTGGTGGGAAGCTGAAGCCAAAGGCCAAGTGGGGCCTTCACCTCGGTGTGTCGGAGGCGAGCAAGGGATGGGAGCTCCTCGACATTGCCGCCAACCGGGTGGTCACCACGTCGGACGTGGTGTTCTACGAGGACCTGTCGTTGGAGGAGTGGAAGTCGGCGCATGGGCCGGTGTCAGGGCGGACGCTAGTGTCCACGCCGACGGATACCTTGACGACAACGCTCCCTCTACTCGCCGAGGTCGGTGAGCTTGCCGTGGACGACGCCGAGGTCGACCACCCTTCCTTTCCCTCCCCTGCACCTCCCCTCGTCGACCTTCGTGGGCTGACTCCGTCGTCGGCCTCCGGCGATGAGGGGAGCAGTGGGACGTCGCCTGTGGCGCCAACCAAGGGCATCGCCGGTGGCCGACAGGACGAGCAGCAAGTCGACAAGCAGCAGGTCGACCTGGGAGTGCAGTCGACAGGGGAGCAGGCAGCCACGAGGTCGACCCAGGAGCAGTCGG